GAGTACAGCTTGTAATGGAATATAGTGAGTATGGCGCTGACCAAGACGATCTTGCTCGCGGGAGCGCTAAAGTCTTGTGCGTTACCCCTCGTCGCCGCTTTCGCCAATGAGAACGCTGTCAACAATGATATGTCAATATCATCAGCGCCAGTACTCAAACGCGGATATAGACACCAACACTGCTCGTTAACGACGAAATCAATGACAATGTCGACAGTGAACGTCCCCGCGGTCGTCTCGCTCGTGATCTCGGACAACGAGAGAGCACGCTCGGCGCCGAGCTCGACCGCGAGCTCACGCGCGGCCTTCTTGTAGTCGACTGCGAAGACGGTCGCACCATAGCTCTTCGCGATTTGCAGCGCTTGATGTCCTAGGCCGCCCACACCGTAGATGAGTACGCGTTTCTTCGTTCCGGGGCGGAGCTGATGGATAGACGTGAGAATGATGGACATTCAAATGCATTTGGCAGAGAGGAAGGACCACATACTCCTGCGACGTTGTGCACGGCGTTGAAAGCAGTGATAAGCGAATCGCCGGCGAGGGCCGCCACTTCTGGAGCCAGTCCCTGGGGCTATGATGACGCCGTTTAAGCCACCGCATGTCGCCATTGGAAAGGGGACGAGCTCACCGCAGGCACCAGTTGGCGCTGATCGACGACGATGTACTCGGCGTAGCCGCCATCCCTGCCAATACCATCGCTCTCTTCGATGGGCGGAAGGCCATTGATGCTCTTCGCGCAGGGCACGATGACGTGCACAACATACAACTGGCCCTCCTCGATGCCTACTACGCCGTCGCCAAACCTGCCTCCGAATCAGCATCCAGCGATGGAATAACGGATCGTTGATCTCACTTGACGGGGTAGCCGGATATCTCGTGGCCCAGGATGTACGTGCGATCGTCGATGAGTGCCTCCGTGAGGAGTAGGACGTCCGAGTGACACGCGCCACATGCTGCAATCTTGAGCAGCACCTGGCCGTGCCCAGGCTGGGGCACGGGGAAATGGTGCTCGGTGACGGGGTTCAGGCTCCCCGGGTGGTACACGGCAGCGCGCATGGTGGCGGGGATCTCAACGGTCATTGTGAACGATATAGAGATGTAGATGCGAGTATGCGAGGGTGATGCTGTCGAAAGAGGCGTTGGTTGGACTGGTGAGTTCGAGTGGTGCTTCTACCGAGTGACATTCCTGCAGCTTTTATATCCTGGTGCGCACCAAGCCCTGGTGAACTCGGCAACTAAGCCGACTCTGTCCTGTGGATGTAAGCAACATGCTCAACCCTGCCCTACAATCCGTACAGGCTCACCGACGCTCACCCGACATGCATAGCCCATGGGGTCGTCCGGGGAGCCCGTCAGACATGGGGCTGCTCTTGGCGGGTAGCGGGAGTGTCGCAACCAAGAGGTAACAGCCTCGCGCGGATTGGCACCCAAAACAACCAAAACGAGGCTCGGGCGCAAGCGGCATCCTTGCGAGCGCTGCTGAGGAGGGTGCATGCGGTCTATCCATCGTCGGTTTGTGTGAGAGCTTCGGGCTGCTAGTGCGAGCCTGCACACGCGACTGTAAGCGGCTGCTGCTTCGACCGAGACACTGTATCGGTGCGCCCACGCAGGTCCGCGTTCTGCGGAGGGTCAGTACGGCGCGCCCTACGAGTGGGCGCGCACGCTGTAGCCCAGCTGGCAGGTAGCGCCTTGCACGCGAATTGCAAGTATGGTTGAGGTGATGTGCCCGTCGAGATCCTGGGCAGAACGGAGTTGACCCGTAGTGGTACCGATTACCAAGAGGGACACGCGACAGTGTTCCCCTTCAGCGGAGACCACGATGTACAGAGACGTGGTGCAGCTCTGGCGTAGAGTGTCTTCGGCTCTCCATTTCGTGCTGTGCTGACACTGATGGTGGTCAATTGTCTGAGGCTGCTCATATGTGTGCGGATCCCGCTCACATGCTGCGGAGCTGGTGCAGCTGGCCTTGATTTGGAAGGGGGGGGCGGGGCGGGGCTTTACAGTCATTCTGTACCTCATTGAAAGTCTGGCGTTAGCATGATGTCGCTATGCTCGAGTCTGACACCACCCACCTACGCTGTTAGCTCTAGAATTGGTCACCGGAGTATATCCAAACAGTAGAGTTACAATGACTTCACCGTACATGAGCACCCTTCGATGATTGCAGATTAGAGACTTAGATTGCACGATCATGGTCATGTCGAATGGCTGCCGCAGTTTCAATCCAGAAAAACTCGTACAATGGCCGAAAGGGAGGAATACAACACTACCGTACAAACCCGTCACTTCTATCAGGCGAGCATCTCCTTTAGCTCTCCGTTGTCCACCATCTCCTTCACGACGTCCAGACCTCCGACGAACTCGCCGTTGATGATCAGTTGAGGGAAAGTGGGCCAGTTGTTCAGCACTTTGAGGCCCTGTCGTACGCTTTCGTCCGACAGGATATCGAAGCTGCTAAACTCGACACCCTGCGACCGAAGCAAGTCCACAATGCGCCGCGAGAATCCGCATCGTGGTTGGTCGGGCGAGCCCTTCATGAACAGCACGACCTTAGACTGGTTCATGAGCTTGCGTAGACGCTCATTCAGTTCCTCAGGGCTCTCCTGGGATGTGGACGAGGGCGCTGCTGGCGCGCGGTCCGTATGAGACTGAGGGCTGATGGACGAGGGTCCCCGTACGTGGGTCGCAATAGCTTCGGTAAGGGCGGGCGCATCTGCACCGGATATCCGCCCGAGCAGCGTATGCCCCTGTGTGGGAAGTTAGAACAAGAATTTAGGTAGATCGTCGAGGCGGTGAACTCACCCGGAGGATCACAAACGTCGGTACCGCCTCGACCTCAAACGACTCTGAGATGTCTGACTGCGTCTCGGCTTCCACCTGCGGTGCATGAATGCCGGTGAATCGCCTGGATTACGGCCAAGAACGCGATTTGACGCACCTGAAGGACCAGAACTTGCGGATATTTCTTTGCGAGTTCTACCACGACCTCATTCATCTGCTTGCACGGCTCTGCCCATGGTGCCCAGAAATTGATCAAGGAGACGCGGTTGAGATCCTCGGAGAGCAGTGACTGGAAGTGCTCGGGCGACTGAACCTCGTGGAAATTCGTTGGGTTTTGAGCCATTTTCGCGGAAATTGGAGAAGGAATGTGAGCTAGGCGAGTGCGATAGCAACTGCGGACAAGAGAGAAGTAGCCAAGATGCGTTTGCAGGGGTTTACGACTGCCTTTGAAGAGATGAAGGAGGCAGATGACTGAACTCGCCTCGGGGATACTTATCAGATAACTAAACTTGGCGAGATATGGCGCAATCGGTGTGGGAGACTTGTATCTTATCAGATAAAATAGCTACCGTCCTCGGCCGCAGATCGGCGAGCCACACGATGTTCTCGAAAACCCACATCCATGCGAAGGGCACAGTACTTCTGAACATAGCCGGTGCTCCCGATCTATATATGAGAATGGTGCGTGTACACTTTCAATGCCTCAGCAGCTGAATATATTGCCGACAAGAGAAAAGTCAGGCCTAGGCTACCTACGGTCTACCTGAGCTAGACCGGAAAGACTAGGACGAAATAGTCAATGGTCAAGATTACTCTGGCACACCGTGCTGCACGGTACCACATAGTAGTGGCTTGTGGCAAGGTGCATAAGAGGAGACTCGTCGCAAGCCATCATGCACCCTAATATCGCGGACTGAAATCCAAACCGAACTTAGCAGGCTTCCTAGGACCTAAATCTCTGCGACTCCGCATGAGTATCTGCCGGGGAGTACGTACTGCAGATCCTGACAATCTAGTTCTTCATCAGACGAAGATTACTGATCTGGCCGGCCAGGGCGAAAACGACCGTGTTACCGTGTTGCCAGCCAAGCTCGACCTACTATCCGCCAACAGGGACCATCAAGTCGGGCGCAACGGCCACAGGGTAATCCAGAAAGCGCGAGAGGAGGTCACGGAACCGCCCACTGGAAATTTAACACGGGCGTTGGCCATTTGGACGCGCCGATGAGTGTGTATTGACCGTCGCCTGAGTCGTCCCCGGTGTTCTTGCGGATGCCCTCGGCGAACGCAGGGATGTTGTATGGGAACTCTCAGGCTTTCATTTGGTATGAGTCCCGGTCCCTCCTAACCCAGACGTACGAGGCTGCTTTACAGATGGTAAGGGATCCGCCTTGGCCCATGGTGGTTAGAGTTGCGGAATGCGTCAGACGGTAGCTCCATGGCGACAATCCTCTTCGGTGCGGTAGTTACCCTAGCAGAGTGGTTTGAGGTGAGTGTCATGAAGATGGATGTCTCTGCCTGGTCTCCATCTCCGGTACCTCGCTTCAGCTGAGGCCGTCGGTGTCACCTTTGACGTCGTGTTTGTCGCAAGATGGCAACTCCACTCCCACAACCGCACATATCGCCGTCCCCGGTCCTCTCCACGATTCGGGCCATCGCTCGACCAAGGGCTGTACCGCAAGACTACAACGGCAATGCAGAACCAGGTCGGGCGACCCGCCGCCAAGGCTGCATATCATGAGATGTTTTACATCAGACTGTAAGTGCTATTGGTTTTGCGGGTCATCAGAGTCGGAGCTCTCGCAGACGAATCACTCCCTAGTTCCGGCATCAGCGTTCCCCATGGCGTACGTGGCTTTGTATCGGGCAAGCTTGCGACACCCTTGGCGCGAGTAGAATTTATGAATGCCCTCATTATTCAGCAGCAGTCGATAGTTCCGAACGAGGGGAACTTGGTGCCACCGCATCATGGTCAGACATGTACACCAAGTCAACACAAACCGAAGATCACACGTTTCGGTGTCACTGACCTTGACGCACACATGCTATGACTTGGACTGTCCGTATAGCTCTCCTCCCACTCTTCTGACCCTGTAACAACCAGTGTTTTCCGAATGTTTGGTGCTGCAAGATGCTTCCAAGCCCGTCGCCCCGGCCCAGGGAGGTTGCCTTAATCAACAGCTAGCGCGTCATACACTTTACGAGCATGCGCCGCATATGGCGAGATGGCCGAGCGGTCTAAGGCGCCAGACTAAGGTGGACATTTCAGGAGTGTTCAGTGATCTGGTCCTCACGGGCGTGGGTTCGAATCCCACTCTCGTCATTACACTTTTTTCAATTCCCAAAAGGTTGCACCTCCAACAAGCCCGTGTGGTCTTTTAGGATCCGCTTAGCAGTGGCCATTCGACTAGATGAATTTTGTTATGCTACCCTCCACTCCAGCATCGGTAAGATCATGATCAAACGGTTGAGTCTGTGCCTAGCATGCACTAAAGAAACATGGAAAGATTGGGAGCCACACTAGATTATCTCCTATCACGAACTTTGTTCTGAACAATTTAAGGCAAAAGGATGCACATGGAGCTGCACGATGGTCGTGAAACCGGAAAGTCGCTGAAAGAGGTCACGAGGGTTCCGCGAATTCGCCAAGAATACCAGCACGAAGCTGAGAATATGATATAGTACATGTCCTGAGATACACACACAAAGATTATAATTATCCTCGCCCCGGCACCGAGAGACTTCCCCGTTACCGGATGCAAGGGAGCGACGGTACAGTTACAGCAGGCCGGCGTGTCCATGGTGTCCAGGAACGACAGATTGGCAGCGCGAGAACGTACGCGCGGGGGGCGTTCTGGAAGGCGAAGCCCCACCCCCTCGCCCGCGTCGACGTCCACGTCCACGATGGTCGCGGGAACGGGCACCCCAGAAGCAGATATCGCGTCGCGCAATCAAGGTCACGCTGATCAGCCCTACGGGTGCGCTTCCAGCCAATCCGCGACGCGCGCGATGAGGTCGTCCTTCTTCCCAGAGACGGGCTCGCTCTTGCTCTTGAGGAAGTTCTGCGAGAAAGGAGGGATTAAATGAAGTGCATCAGCAGCTGCGGGGCTTGAACATGGAGCGCGGCGCGCGGGGAAGCGAATGAATGGGTTGCCATAGGTTTCTAGCCGCTCCCACGGGCGCACGACCTCTGTCAGCTCGACGAGCTAGAGTGGCAGACCGTCTCGCGCCCGCAAAGGCCGACGAACGAAGCGGGTGCCCATATCGCTCCCCCGCAGCAGCGCGACCACATGGACGAGGGGAAGTAACGTACCTTCAGGTCCTCCACGCGAAGCTACAAAACGTAACATGTCAGCAAAGCTGCACCCAATGCCGCGAACCTCTTACCCCGCATGCAGCAGGGTCGCAGAGCGGAGAAAACGACGTTGGGAAAGCGACTCACCTTACGGAGCTGGTCGGCTTCGTGGAGTGCTCTGATCTCTTTCTCGTCGATGGCAGACTGCTCCTGCGTTTCCTGCAGCAAGCACGTAAAGCGGGCCGCTCGTCAGGCACGATCTCTCTTCTTGCCAGCGTGGTTACTCACCGCTTTACGTTTCCTGCTCACAGGGGGCGCTGCGACGACGTTGGCAGTCTCGTCTTCCAGGAGCGCCTTCTTCCATTTGCGCATCAGCTCGCCCGCACGCTGGCTCGAGTGAATGTATGTCCCAGGGGGGTCAGAGGTTCCATCGGACGGGGAGGGGGTCGCCGTAGTCGGCGTCGGCAAAGCGGGCGTGCCTGCTGCGTGAGACCTGGACTCAGAAGAAGGGTGAGTATCCTCGCTGCTGACCTTGTGCATCATCTCATATTTCGGCACCGTCAGGTCCTCGAACGCCTCCGCGTCGAACTCTTCGCGGAACGCGCTCGCCTCCAGCTGAGCATTGTAATACGCAAGCGCTGTATAGGGAAGGCGGCGAGTGGGAAATTTCGCAATGATTGATTGAGTATGTCTGTGGGTACAGATAAATGGGGGGACATAGGTCCGAGCTCACCTGGGTTCGGGTACGAGTCCGGCGGGTACGACCCGTCCTTGATATGGAGTTTATGGATCCATTGTTTCGCTATAGCCGTGACTTCCTTCGATGCTGGATGCCATGCACCAGTTCCATAAATTTTCAGAGTTCAGACCATCATGATGAGGGGACGAGAGAACGGTCCGAAGGCGCCAGAATATCGTTCAATAAAAACAATTATGAGCTCGTGACAGTGGCCAAAGGAGCAGCGCCTCTCACCGCGGAAGCCCTTGAGCGTAGGTGCGGCCCGAATGTCGTCCGCGAATGGGAATTGGATGAGGTGGAAGCCAGGCGGCTCGCGCCATCCGCTCTCGTCTACCTTCTCAGCCTGCACATCGTGGTGGTCAGTACCACCATCACATGGCCACGGCCCCTCTCAACGGGCCTGCCAAGTAGGGGCATATTGCGGACGCAGAAGCGAGTCGGGGAGCACGCACCTGTGGAAGCACCGCGCAGAACGCTGGCGAGGCGTTGCGCCGAGTAAGGACGAGGACGATCCCAATTTTCCCCGTTTTGATCATAGTCCGGAGGAGCGCGGTGAAGGTACGCTTGCTCCCGGAATACGACTGCGTGCAAAACAGGTTAGCGTTTCGTTTTCTGTCGCTTTGCCAGGCACGTCCGCGCGGTCCCGGAGGTTACGGCATGGCGCGAGCACGTACCATCTCGTCTGGATAGATGAAGTACGAGTGTTTGACGTTGTCTTCGAAGGTTAGCTCACTGCGGTCTTTGAAACCGAGAAGCTTGATACCTGATGAGGTTGCACGGCAGGAACGGCTGAGTGAGCAACGGTCTCTCTCGGTGGAGCGAGAACTGCGACCCACCTGGCTCCAGGCCGAGCGTCCGGAATGAGCGCACTTCATCCGCCGTATAGAACACTCGACTGCCAAGTTGGACCTTGCGCGTTCCAACTGCTGATTCTTTGGCATCCGAAAAACTCTCGCCAGCGGCCTCACCCGACGGAGCACCGAGGTCCATCCCATACAAAATCTCTGTCTTGTCAGCTTCTGCGTCACGCTCCTATCCAAGGGTCAACAGTTTATGAGCCACCGGACCGTACTGTTCGACGTATATACAGACGACGAACCTGATCAACGTAAGCGGTGCGAGAGGTGACCGGCTCAACCCTGTCCCCAAGATCCGCAAAATACCTGTATGCGCCCTTCTTTTGCTCGGTAATGAGGCCATACCTAGGAATTTTGAAGATTCAGCCGTCATCCCCGCGACCCTCGCACCACAATAGCAATTCTACACACCCTTTCACACCGATCACAAACCCGGGCGCAAGGGTCAAGGGAACGCTGAACAGCGCCCTCTTGGGAACTTCGTGGAAGCGCATCTGCGCCAACAGCTCGTCGACGCGACTAATGGAGATAGATTCCGGAAGAATGGACTCCGACTCGTCGTCGGCGATGTCGTCCAAGTCCGTGGTGCTCGTTGGAAGGAGGACCGACTGCCGGACACGGACATACGGTTAATATTCGACACATAACGCGGCGAAGACTGCGGAACTTACGGAGTAGAACTTCGTGGGATCGAATGCCTTGTCATCTGTGCTAATGAAGAACGGCTCTACGGCCACGCCGGCTTGGATCAGATCCTGGCCGAGCAGCTCTCAATAACTCTGACTCGTCAATGGGTCATTCCTTTAATTGACTTACAACCAAGGTCGTGCGAGCAGACGTCATAAGTCGAGTGCCACTTGCACCGGGATGAGGGTCGTCCTCATCGGTTATCAAGAAGATACGCTTAGTAGCGGTCTTCGGGGCTCTACCAAAGGCAGCAAGCCACTGTCAGTGCAATATAACTACTACACGTCTCAGATGTACTGACCCATCACGGATGACCCAGTTGCAGCTGGTAAAGACATCACCAATCGGCATCCGCTTGTCCGTCAGAGGCGGAAAAGTATCCTTGAGCGTGTCTGGATTTTCTCGTGCCTCTGCGACTCGTCAGAACACTTCTTCTACCACATGTGTTTGAAACACGACGCTTGCTCACCGTCCAAGAGCTGAATAAGCTCCATAACCTTCGGTGCGTCAATGGTGGCGATGGGCTGATAGACATACGCCCCCTTCTTGATGTCTGCACCAGCCTGCCCACTCTCATTTCTCTTCGTCTACAACATACCACAACAACAAGGGTCAGATACACCAGCCGACGCCACGCTAGAGCACCCGAGACGCCGACGCACCGTATTGAAGAGCATAATCCCGACAGCGTCGTTCGGGCCGACGAGAACCTTCTTCTTCATGATCTGCATAGCAGCTTCAAGCGCAATCATGAGGTTGCACGTCTGCACGGCGTCTTCATACCGCTCGTCCTCGCGCATCTCGAGCATCGAGGGCGAGCAGTCGATGCAGAACAGAATCACGTCCCGTTTGCCTTCATAGAACTGCCCCGCGCAGACGCGGACGGATTCGTGTGCATGTTAGTTGAGGGGTAGTAACGGCACATTAACAGAACACGTACGGAAGCGTCCTGCAACTCCTCATCTTCCTCGTCGTCCGCCTTGTTCCAATCGTCGTACGGCGCCATCCCGAATCTTCCAAAAGCCTATTATATTCTATTCTCAAAACGCGACTGCAGATGGTGGCGCGTGTCAGCGAAAGCGTAGCGGACAAGAAGTCTTGCACAAATGCGAGAGTGCGAGGCCGACGGGGGTCAAGTAGCCTCGGGTGGTGGTGGTCGAGTAGAGAGGGCGGTACCGCGCGGAGACGCCTGGCTATAACGCGGCGGGCCTGTGGCTAAGCCTTGGGCGGCTGCGGTGGCTAAGTTACGCGCGACGCGTCTTCCCACGTGATGCATACGTACCTCGTGTGGCGCAAGGGCGCTTCTGTGTGTAACACTGTAAGTCTGCCAAGAACGGGCTCTTCAAGTTAGTCTGCCGTCTACGAACGCCTATAAGGGAGCTGAAGAAGGGAAACACACTAGAGATACACCGAAGATCTGAGTTACATTCTCGGAAAGTACGTTACAGTCCGAAAATCTTGCACAGACGGTCTAACTGCCAAGGTCAGTTGATTATAATCCGTACACTTACTGTGCATCCAATACTCGGTTTGCAGAAGCCCAAACATTCTATAACCAACACGGACGCCCGACAGAGGGAATAATAAGACATTTTGAGCATGGCTTCTCCCAGCAGCAGCTCCACCAAATCTCTTCCTCCTCTCCGCGAGATACCCGTCTCTGCTCTTGCCTCCGCCGCTACCCCCGTATTACGCATCAAGACCGACGAAGACGTCGAGCTCTGGAAACACACGCGCGGATATCA